TTGGATTCATTGGATTCACTACCGGCATTAAATTCAAATGGCTGACAACAGTCTTCATGACTGTGTACCTAGGGGTTCACTTGGTCAATTACATGTCCTTTAATAACTATGCCTGGGACTGGTTGCCAAAGATAAGTTTCTTGGAAGCTATTGTTACTTTGGTTGTTCATGACAGTATCCTTTAATTACATGTCCTTTGACTCAAAACAGTGGGTTACTGTTGTCTGTGTAGTCAATTTGAGACAGTTGAAAGGAGCTTTCGGACATTGTGCCATTTGAATCCCTTATTCCGGTATACGTTGTTTATAAAAATTAACCCAGAGGCACAAAATTAGATGTTCATTGACAAGATCTGTAACACCATTCTAAATTTGATTAGCGTTTGATTGGTGCAGAGATTCTGCACATTGTGCTTTGACATAACCTTACCTATTAATGCTGATGAGAGAATTTTTGCATGGAGTTAATTTTTGTTCTCCAGCAGCTGGTAAACTTGCGGTATCGAGATCAAATTCTTACAGCTATCTGGTTTACCTGTAAGTATGATTTTGAAAGTCTTTAAATTGGTTCTTGGGTATTTACAACTTTGTGACATTATTAAATAAACTCTTTAATAACAGGGATGGAATGCACATAGTTCTTGTGATGTTCTGGTCTTTACTATGCATCTAGTATGGGAGCCACCTCCACGCTAGTTTTTAGTGTTTATTATTATTGTTGTTATTCTTATTATTGTTATTTTTTATCATTATTGCTATTATTAGTATAAAAGGAGTTTTTGGACATTGTGTCATTTGAATTACTTATTCCTGTCTATGTTGTTTATGAAAATTAACACCGATGCACATAATTAGATGTTCAATGACAAGATCTAGAACATCATTATGAGTTTGATTAGCATTTGATTGGTGCCAAGATTCTGCACTTTGTGCTTTGACATAATCTTAAAAGGAGTTTTTGGACATTGTGACATTTCAATCACTTTGGCATCAGCGAAATGCTGGTGGGAGAATTTTGCACGGAGTTAATTTGTGTTCTCGAGTAGTTGCTTGCCTGGTAACTTGTGTTATCGACAATTATGGATCGAGATCAAATTCTTACTGTTATCGGATTTCCAATTTACCTCTAAGTATGATCATGGTTAATTTGAAAGTTTTAAAATGGGTTCTTGGGTAATTTTTCAACAACTCTGTGACTAAAGTAAATTCTTTAATTACAGTGACGGAATGCACATAGTTCTTGTGATGTGCTGGTCTTTACCATGCAACTAATGTGGATCCGTTAAAGAGTGTGCATCTAGTATGGGAGCCACCTCCACACTAGTTTTCAGTGTTTATTACGGAGTATTATTATTGTTATTTATTATCATTATTGCTATTATTATTATTATTATTATTATTATTTGGTCAGGTTAGTAAGAGGAGTAATAGGCTGTACCATTTACTAATTTTCATTAAAGTCGTGGCTGTTGGACTACTCCCTAAAGGAAATTCAGATAATCAAGTCTAGGAATTTTGAAGTTTGAGTTTCCACATGGTAATGAGAACCCTACTAGTTTGTTCATCCAATGAAACTCTCTAGTTTTTAGTGTTTATTATTATTGTTGTTATTCTTATTATTGTTATTTTTTATCATTATTGCTATTATTAGTATAAAAGGAGTTTTTGGACATTGTGTCATTTGAATTACTTATTCCTGTCTATGTTGTTTATGAAAATTAACACCGATGCACATAATTAGATGTTCAATGACAAGATCTAGAACATCATTATGAGTTTGATTAGCATTTGATTGGTGCCAAGATTCTGCACTTTGTGCTTTGACATAATCTTAAAAGGAGTTTTTGGACATTGTGACATTTCAATCACTTTGGCATCAGCGAAATGCTGGTGGGAGAATTTTGCACGGAGTTAATTTGTGTTCTCGAGTAGTTGCTTGCCTGGTAACTTGTGTTATCGACAATTATGGATCGAGATCAAATTCTTACTGTTATCGGATTTCCAATTTACCTCTAAGTATGATCATGGTTAATTTGAAAGTTTTAAAATGGGTTCTTGGGTAATTTTTCAACAACTCTGTGACTAAAGTAAATTCTTTAATTACAGTGACGGAATGCACATAGTTCTTGTGATGTGCTGGTCTTTACCATGCAACTAATGTGGATCCGTTAAAGAGTGTGCATCTAGTATGGGAGCCACCTCCACACTAGTTTTCAGTGTTTATTACGGAGTATTATTATTGTTATTTATTATCATTATTGCTATTATTATTATTATTATTATTATTATTTGGTCAGGTTAGTAAGAGGAGTAATAGGCTGTACCATTTACTAATTTTCATTAAAGTCGTGGCTGTTGGACTACTCCCTAAAGGAAATTCAGATAATCAAGTCTAGGAATTTTGAAGTTTGAGTTTCCACATGGTAATGAGAACCCTACTAGTTTGTTCATCCAATGAAACTCTCTAGTTTTTAGTGTTTATTATTATTGTTGTTATTCTTATTATTGTTATTTTTTATCATTATTGCTATTATTAGTATAAAAGGAGTTTTTGGACATTGTGTCATTTGAATTACTTATTCCTGTCTATGTTGTTTATGAAAATTAACACCGATGCACATAATTAGATGTTCAATGACAAGATCTAGAACATCATTATGAGTTTGATTAGCATTTGATTGGTGCCAAGATTCTGCACTTTGTGCTTTGACATAATCTTAAAAGGAGTTTTTGGACATTGTGACATTTCAATCACTTTGGCATCAGCGAAATGCTGGTGGGAGAATTTTGCACGGAGTTAATTTGTGTTCTCGAGTAGTTGCTTGCCTGGTAACTTGTGTTATCGACAATTATGGATCGAGATCAAATTCTTACTGTTATCGGATTTCCAATTTACCTCTAAGTATGATCATGGTTAATTTGAAAGTTTTAAAATGGGTTCTTGGGTAATTTTTCAACAACTCTGTGACTAAAGTAAATTCTTTAATTACAGTGACGGAATGCACATAGTTCTTGTGATGTGCTGGTCTTTACCATGCAACTAATGTGGATCCGTTAAAGAGTGTGCATCTAGTATGGGAGCCACCTCCACACTAGTTTTCAGTGTTTATTACGGAGTATTATTATTGTTATTTATTATCATTATTGCTATTATTATTATTATTATTATTATTATTTGGTCAGGTTAGTAAGAGGAGTAATAGGCTGTACCATTTACTAATTTTCATTAAAGTCGTGGCTGTTGGACTACTCCCTAAAGGAAATTCAGATAATCAAGTCTAGGAATTTTGAAGTTTGAGTTTCCACATGGTAATGAGAACCCTACTAGTTTGTTCATCCAATGAAACTCTCTAGTTTTTAGTGTTTATTATTATTGTTGTTATTCTTATTATTGTTATTTTTTATCATTATTGCTATTATTAGTATAAAAGGAGTTTTTGGACATTGTGTCATTTGAATTACTTATTCCTGTCTATGTTGTTTATGAAAATTAACACCGATGCACATAATTAGATGTTCAATGACAAGATCTAGAACATCATTATGAGTTTGATTAGCATTTGATTGGTGCCAAGATTCTGCACTTTGTGCTTTGACATAATCTTAAAAGGAGTTTTTGGACATTGTGACATTTCAATCACTTTGGCATCAGCGAAATGCTGGTGGGAGAATTTTGCACGGAGTTAATTTGTGTTCTCGAGTAGTTGCTTGCCTGGTAACTTGTGTTATCGACAATTATGGATCGAGATCAAATTCTTACTGTTATCGGATTTCCAATTTACCTCTAAGTATGATCATGGTTAATTTGAAAGTTTTAAAATGGGTTCTTGGGTAATTTTTCAACAACTCTGTGACTAAAGTAAATTCTTTAATTACAGTGACGGAATGCACATAGTTCTTGTGATGTGCTGGTCTTTACCATGCAACTAATGTGGATCCGTTAAAGAGTGTGCATCTAGTATGGGAGCCACCTCCACACTAGTTTTCAGTGTTTATTACGGAGTATTATTATTGTTATTTATTATCATTATTGCTATTATTATTATTATTACTATTATTATTTGGTCAGGTTAGTAAGAGGAGTAATAGGCTGTACCATTTACTAATTTTCATTACAGTCGTGGCTGTTGGACTACTCCCTAAAGGAAATTCAGATAATCAAGTCTAGGAATTTTGAAGTTTGAGTTTCCACATGGTAATGAGAACCCTACTAGTTTGTTCATCCAATGAAAGATCTTGTATCTGCGAGAGCTCATGGTTTTCTCTCTTGTTCTGCAGTTGCCACCGTATCTGCTAGCAAATCAACAACCAAAGTCCCTTCCTGGTCCTAGATAATGGTCCTAAGTCAGAATTTTAGCAGTTTGAAAAACAAAATGGATCAAATGGTTTGGTTCTACAGTTTCAGGCTCTGTTATATATGCTGCTTTTTTCTTGCTAGGATCTTTTAAAACATAGATTTGATTCTGAAATTTTTAGTGGTATTATGAAGGGGAAGACTGTAGGCTCGACATTTGCTCTGCTGACTCTTTGTTGATATGAACAGGTGTGCAGTGTGTCCCTAAAGCAAAAATACAAATGTAACCCATCACCAGCACCAGCACCAGCACCAGCACCAGCACCAAATTGAATTGGTTTCATAAAACTTGGTGGATAACATGTCCTTGTCAGCTTGTCCGCGCAGGTTTTGATGCTTACTTCCCTACTTAACCGCAAATTGATCTTTCTGGTCAATTATTTCCTGATATATTTAAAAAATGGTCAAGCAGAGTTGTTAGATAACTAATAGTCTCATTATGGAGGACAATGACTTTTGATAACTTGTAGATTATGCAATTCCATTATAGATAGCATAAAGCTTTTACCCAATTAGAAATTGCCAGGGGCATTTCATTTTTTAAGTTATTAGAATGGGAAAACAACAGTACAGTGTGACATCAATTTACATTATAAGATGGTAGCTTCTTGCTAATGTTCGGTACCACATGACATTAGACAACTTAATCAAAGCAAATACTAACCAATTCCATTTATTTATTAGTTTCGTGTCACCAGATATACATTTCAAGACACTTGAAGGAGGGTTGAAAAAACCTTAGCACCTCCATTACAATACGAAGTAAAATTACATTACATAAAGAGCTCTGCTCTCAAACACCGCCAAGTTAATTACACGAACCACCTTAATTTACAGACTCTAGGAATACAACATATACAGTAGCCTTTTTCTTCAATGATTATGAAGGGAAAAGAAGCTTTCATGATATAGACATGGCTTTTTGTACCTCTCCTTGTTCTCTATGCTTCTGAAGGTTTTGCTGTTGATGTTATAGCAAACCAGACCTTTCTGCTCCGTGTTAATCAATATTTCTCCGTCGTCTTCCTCACAAGGAACAATTCCAAGAATCTCACAACTACCCTCCGTGGCGGAGAGGCTGATGCTGTATCCTTTGACCCAAATGCTATTCTTGCAGTCCTTCAGCATCCATATATCCATAGTTGACTTTGCAGCCAAACAGTATACCAAACACACAAACCCATTCAGTCCAACTAAAAACAGTGAGTTGGAGTCGAGCTCTGAATACCAACCCGGATAAGAAATGACTCCAAATTCTTCTGTCTTCATATCAAACAACACAATCGAATTGCTCTGTTCTGAAACCATCCAATAAATCACTCCGTCGACACATACAGGTAAACGATCCGTCCAGACCTTGTAAGGACAATCATTTACCCTTTTCCAGGAACCAGAATCAACCCCCTCACCATCTCTCAGTGTGAACACCTCACAAGCCATTCCCTCATCGCTCACAAACGATTCTTGGAAGAACAAATGAACAATTTTATATTCATTTGAGCCACAAAGGTACCCAAAACCAACTGTGTAGTAAGGATCAGTGAGCGAAGCACGTGGCACGCTAACGAATTCTCTGGTGCCGGGATTACAAACATACAAACGATACATACAACGCAAGAAAATGAGATGGCCACAAGAAGTGAAGGTGTAAATAGGACCACCAGTTGGTGCCCTGATCTTATTATCACAAGTACCATCCATGTCTATGGAGGTAAGATCAACCATGACTTTGTGCTTCTTTTCTTCAGTGGTTTGGCCTGAAGAGTAAGAACGATAGAGCAACAAAGGGTTGCTCTTTGAGAGTTGACGGTGACGACTTAAAAAACATTCGTCGAATGATATGAGACCGAGCCAGTGTTTTGAAACGCACCTGAACTTGCAGAGAACTTTGACTGGGAGCCTTGAGAGTATTTCTATTATCAGGTCCCGGGGTAGAGAGCCGACGCCGGCGATTTCCATCATGGACGATGGACCATCTTTTAAGATGTGGACCAAAACCATTTGGAATGTCAAACTTGATGGCTCACAGAAAAAGCTTTGTTCCTAATAGTTGTTTGTTGAGTTTGATTATACAAGCACTCAGGGATGTATATTTATTTATCTACCCACTGTGTGCATAATAAATTAGTGCTGGGACGACGTGTCGTCACATCGTTGCATAAACTACCCGAAGCATCATTATGGTAGGCCATGGTATTGACATCTGTGATCTGACACAAACGCTATAGGGTAGGACCCTGATTGTGGGTTGTAATCTTTATTTACTCCTTCTATTCCTTAAATCTATCTTGGATAATAATATATATTTTGGATTTAAAGCTAGCTTTAAAGAGAGAAATAAGTAACTTGTATGTGTAAAATTTGGTGCATGACACAACCTTTTATATATATATATATATTATCTCTGAAGCTTTTACCAATATCATTGCCTTTTAATATTTTGGTGTTTATCATTTCCTCGTGCTCTTCTTTTGGTTTGTTACATACGGAGTGGTTCTTTCTTCACATATGTGGGTCTTCTTCTTGGACTTCTGGACATAATTAGTGGTTGTACGTTTTTTTTTTCTTCATAGTGGTTGTACTTGACACTAACACATCGCACAACTATTCATATAAAATTCTTATCTTCTTTTATCCTGTCATGATTTGTGTGTATATATATAATACTCTTGGATGACATAATTGTTGACTACTATAAGTAGTATAAGTACTTATAAAAATGGGGCTTGGTTAGTTGCTTTTTGTTGTATAAGTACCACTTGTACAGACAATAGAATTCTAAAAACTTAAAATTTGACACCATTTCTAAAAAATATGAAACCAAAAAAATAAGGATAAGAATCCGTCACTAAATTAGTGTAGCCATAAAAAAATTAGCTATACCCGAGTTTGTTGGTTTTCATTAGACATGAGCCTTCACTAGTCAGGACGAGCTTTTTGAAGTGCACCGAAATTGTGTAATATATATATACACACTTTGATAAGAAACGCAACTCACACACTACACTTTTTGCCTCACTAAAACTGTGTATAAGCCTTGCTGTTTGGCTTCTTGGTGGTACTGGTCTAAATAGTCCATGTAAACTTCAGTCAACTATATCAACATATCCCTTTCTTGGCCATTCAAGTGTGTATATTTCCTCAATATATATACATACATATATACATTATCTTTTACATCCTTACTTTGAAAATGAGAGCAATTTTATCTTCTATGAAAAATATATAGCATATGCAGTATATTAATTATGTAATGAGACGTATACTTTTCGACAGTATTATATGTATTTCTTTGGGTATTATTATATATCCCCATTAATTGAGTAAAAATAAGTGGATGACTATGATAGTAAATTTGAGAAAAAACCAAAAAAAAGAGACAAACCAAAAGCACATTAAAGGGTCCAGACATGGATGGGGAACAAATAGTACAGACATCTTTTATGAGCACATGGGTGTGGGATTACCTAACCAGTATAATAACGTTGTAGGGAGGAAAACGACATATTTTTATCAGGAAAATTTAAGAAAAATAAACTCAATTATATATACTAAGTATAATAGTACGTATATAAGATGTGTCACATATAAATGGACAACAAATGGATATGCGTTGTGTGTCGGTCCCAAAGATAAGGTTGCTCTCACGCATGCTCTTGTTTATCTAAAAACTTTATTAGATGCAGAAGATATGTGATTAGACATTTAGACTAAGGACCCTTGGTTGCTTAACATCAAAGTGGTAATTGATCAATAGAAGCATTTTTATGTTTCTATATAATAATATATGAAACAAATTTTGAATTGTCACATTAGTGCGGAAGTGCGCTTGAAACGTATGATTAGTACCGGCTAAAAAAAATTATATTATTTAAATTGTACATAAATTATTTATGTTCAATTTTCACGATTACATGTCAGAATTAATCAAAATGATTTAACACTAGATTTTACAGTTGTCAGACCAAGTTGTGATGCAAAGATTAATTTCTGTTAGGTTAGTTATGACCTTAATATTAAGTGACTGCGTGTCAAAGTTGGTGCATGTGTTAATGCGTTTCCAAACTTGGTTTTTCTTTTGTTCTTTTATTAATTTATTTTTGTTTTCTTTTTAGGGTGGGGTACTAAAAGTTCAATTATTTCTAACATTTATTTTCAAGCCAACTGGGCCTAGTAGTAGCAGCATGTCATCTCAAAGAGGGGTGAACACTCATGCGTCACATGGGAAAGTGCTACAAAATAGTGAAATTAGGTCGACTTGCCAAATGTATTTTAGCCAAATGTTATTTTTTTTGAATATTTACCAACCCCCCAAAAATAATAAATAAAAAATACTATTATTTTGGATGATTATAATATGTATGTGTGGAGGGAAAAAAACTCCCTCCAATAAGAAGCGTACACGTCATCACTATACATATTTACATTCCAAGGACATATAAGGCCCATCATGTTCAAGCCCAAATTGAGTGTATTTTTAGCCCAAGACCATTGTTATTTGTCTTCCAACCTCCATCAAGGCCGAATCAAGAGGTCATCAGCCCAACTTGTTAATATTTAACATCCGGTCCGTTACTCAAGCCCAGCCGGATCAAAGTATGTTCAACCCAGTTATTCAAGAATGCACAAGTCCTACCAGTTGAAGGATTTACCGTAGAAGGAAAATTCTGAGATAGGAAGTTCTGTACAAGGCAAGTTGTATGTATGGAAAATTAGACAATGGAAAGAACTCTATTAGTAAAGAATGTTTATATAGAAAGAATTGGAGGACAAGCAACGCGAGTCCTACCATAATTTTACAATCTTTTGTATATAAATAGAGGCTTAGACCTCCAATAAAGGGATCAAGCAATTCTACGCTTCGACATATATTGTTCTTGTTTATTTTTACTATTAATTGAGTGAGTTGTTTTATTTTTCTTAATCATTATTGGTTGAGCGAAATTCTGCACTTGTGGTCAAAGCCATTAAAATACTGGTAAGCCATTAAAATACTGGTAAGATAATTTTTTTTCATTAATTTATTAGTGCTTGGTAATTAGTAATACGATAATCTAGGTAAAGTATGATATTAATAATATATTAGTAGAAGTAAATGATGGAGTATAATATTTGTTGAGTGTGAATAAAGACTTAGTTTGAGTTGACTAAGAGAGATGTTAATTAATTTTATGGAGCGACAAGCAATTAATAGTGTTTGTATTTGTATTAATATATATATAATATATATATATATATATACTCTCTCCGTCCCACAAAAAAATATCATGTTTGGAGAACTGTGACTCACAAAAAAATATCATGTTATATATATATGTTCCCTCTGCCCCACAAAAAATATCATGATAATCAGATTCCATAGTCCCTTGATATTGATTAGACATCCTAGTTGCACCGTTCGATCCGTCCCACAAAAAAATATGTATATCACGGTGGTTCAATAGATTATTTCTGATAAGAAAGTTGCCCTCTGATACTGTAAGTGGGTAACACGCTAGATTTTCTATTAATCACCCATTTAATTAAAATATGGACAATAACATTACACCTCTTAAGAGTTTTTTTTTTTTTTTTTTTTTTTTTTTTTTTTTTTTTTTTGTAAATCAAGAGAGGAGAGATTTAAACATAGGCACATGTATCTGAAAAGTAAGACGACCTATCAATTATGTCTTTAAATAATATTCAAAAAAAATTGTAGATCTATTCAATTTAATCATGCCCTTCTGAAATGCTGAATTGGTTGAATTTATTTATTTATTTTGTTTATGCCAAATATATATAATGAATAATTAATCGTCATTCAGTTCAACCACAAGCAATTAAGCATATGTGCATGTGATTACCCACCTTAGTAGTCTCTTTGTAATTAAATAATAATAAATGTCTATACGTAATGATGCCTTGGGATGAGAGGTTAAATTCTAAGTTTCTAACGTAGATGTTAGATTCTAGGATGTTAAAAGTGAATTGAATAAAAGGACAGCATTAATGGAATAAAAGGACAACATTAAAAATATATATATATAGGAAGAAGAATACTAAACAACAATGTTGCATTTCCTGACAGGAGAATATTAGGAATGGCCCATGGAGATTTTTATGAAGGGGTCGTTTCACACTTTTGAATACTTTGCTGACTCTTTTTTAACAGGATTCACGCTTCTAAATATTTTTAACACAAAAATACTCGATAATCTTACAAATTGTATTAACACCTTCTAGAGTGTTTAATTTTCTTTTTTTTTAAAAAAAATTGACATTATACACATATAATCACAAATTAAACATTAAATGATATTTGTTTATTTAAAATAAAAATATTATTATAAAAAATGAGTGAAATAACAATATATGTAATATAAAAATTATTATAATATAATATCATTATTCAATACATATATATAAATAAATATTCATATTTATATATAATCGTGTTTAAGCCGTACTCATATCTTATTTTTTAAAAATTTGGTATGTCCTAAGTAGTGGTTCTTAGAAACGTTGAACATGTTAGAAAAAAAAATATACAAAAACTTTTGTAAATTCTTTATGAAAAATTAAGCACCTCTCACCTCTAACTTTTTTTTTTTGGCTCCTATTAAGTGATTAGGCTTATTCTTTTTGAACTTTTAATTTATTTATAAACATTTTATCTAATAAAATAAAATAGTATAATTTTCTTAAAAATGTCATTTGCCCGGGGACACAGTCGGTAGCAATAATATTGCTTCAACTTGATGTTTCAAGATCATAACTAAGCAACTTTTACTATATGCTACTAGTAACTTTATTTTTATTTTTATTTAGAAAGGAGGTTACTAGTAAGTGTATAAAATGTATATAAACTAAATTACTTCATCTATAACTTTTGATCTGTTATCTTTATCAAATATAAGAAAGTGAAATGTTTTACTTTCTTATATTTTATAACGAATCAAAACTTGTAAATCAAACAAATCACTTTAAGTAATCGATTTAAGAATCATTTTCTTACTTTAAATTAAAGAGCACTGGTAGGGGTACACACGGTCTAGTTTGGTTCGATTTTGAGGATTTTTGGAACCAAACCGCTCCCTAGGTTCCAAAAAATCTAAAACCGAATCAGA